CCTGTAATCTCAGCACTTTGGGAGGCCAAGGCGGGTGGATCACCTGAGGTTAGGAGTTCAAGACCAGCCTGGCCAACATGGTGAAACCCTGTTTTACCAATTATTATTAAAAAAAAAAAAGAAAAGAAAAACAAAAGGAAGACTTTAGGGGATTTTCTTTTCTTTCTGTATTCTATTATTTATAGAGTTTCTAGTATTAGCAGAAAATCTGCTCATATATATATATATATATTTTTTTTTTTTTTATTTTTTTGAGATGGACTTTCACTCTTGTCACCCAGGCTGGAGTGCACTGGCATGATCTTGGCTCACTGCAACTCCACCTCCCAGGTTCAAGCGATTCTCCAGCCTCAGCCTCCCAAGTAGCTGGGATTACAGGCATGCACAACCACACCCGACTAATTTTCATATTTTCAGTAGAGATGGGGTTTCACCATGTTGGCCAGGCTGGTCTCGAACTCCTGACCTCAAGTGGTCTGCCTGCATCAGCCTCCCAAAGTGTTGGGATCACAGGCATGAGCCACCATGCCTGGCCTGATATATTTATATTTTGTAAAAATCTTCCTCACTTGTGGGTCTAAGGCTGCCATTGGCCTTTCTATAGAGCCTTTCTTTCTTTCTTTTTTTGAGATGGAATTTTCCTCTTGTTGCCCAGGCTGGAGTGCAGGGCTCGATCTCGGCTCACCGCAACCTCCAACTCCTAGATTCAAGTGATTCTCCTGCCTCAGTGTCCCAAGTAGCTGGGATTACAGACATGTACCATCATGCCTGGCTAATTTTGGATTTTTAGCAGAGACAAGGTTTCTCCATATTGATCAGGCTGGTCTCGACCTCTGACCTCAGGTGATCTGCCTGCCTCAACCTCCCAAAGTGCTGGGATTACAGGTGTGAGCCACCGCACCTGGCTATGGAGCCTTTCAAAACTTCCAGATTTAATACATTGCTCTCCTTTGTCTACAGTCTCAGTTACATCTCTCCTAGCATTTATCATAGTTTACAGTATATTTATTACCTCTGTATAACATTTCCCTCAATCCCTGAAGGCAGGGACAAATCTTACCCATTTTTCTTTTTAATTATTAAAAATACTTCTTTAACGCTTCATGAATTTACATGTCATCCCTGCGCAGGGGTCATGCTAATCTTCTCTGTATCATTCCAATTTAATGTATGTGCTGCTGAAGTGAGCACAAATCTTACCCATTTTTATATCCTGCTGCCACCCCATCCAGCAACTAGTTCTACACCTAGAAAGGTATTATCGGCTGGGCACAGTGGCTCATGCCTATAATCCCAGCACTTTGGGAGTCTGAGGTGGGCCAATCACGAGGTCAGGAGTTTGAGACCAGCCTGGCCAACACGGTGAAACCCTGTCTCTACTAAAAAAAACCCACAAAATTAGCTGGGCTTGGTGGCAGGTGCCTATAATCCCAGCTACTCCAAGGCTGAGCCAGGAGAATTGCTTGAACCCAGGAGGCATAGGTTGCTGTGAGTCGAGATCACGACACTGCACTCTAGCCCGGGCGACAGTGCAAGACTCTGTCTCAAAAAAAAGAAAGATATTATCAAATGTTCCTGCCACATTCCTGCCAGTATCCCTGTCTGTCCCCTCCCAGCCTACACAAGGGATGCACAGAAAGGATCTGTCTCCTTTGACAGAAGAGGCTGATGATCTAACACTCTCTTCTGACTTCCTAGCTTGCATGCTGTTCCATCTCTTCCTCCCACAGACCAGGACTCAAAGGGCAGGGTATTTTCTCTGGAAGGACCCATATCATAATGCACCTTTGTATGAAGCAGCAACCTTTGCACAGTCTCCAGTTAGTACTTTCAGAGGAATTAGTTTATCAGATTAACTAGTTGGCACCTTAACAGGCATGCAGAATCTGACTCAGGAACAGAGAACTAAGAGAACTAAGGTGCGGTAGGAAGCAGGTGGCAGAGTGAAGACCTGGGTAGTGGGAAAGAGTGTGAGTCCTCTGGGTGGAAAAGGTAAACTGGGAGCCAAACCAGCAAGGGGACAAGGATTGGGCAGGGTAATGGGTAAGTTATAATGGCCTCCTCCTCATTTAAGAGGCCATTACAATCAATTTTACCTACTTTACCAAACAGCTTAAAGCCAAAGTGGGAGCTCAAAACCAGGAAGGAGCCAGGCACAGTGGCACACGCCTGTGGTCCCAGCTACTCAGGGGGCCAAGACGAGAGGATCACTTAAGCCCAGGAGTTTGAGACCAGGCCCAGGAACATAGTAAGACCTCAAAAACAACCCAGTTATGGGATGAGAATCTGGCTTGAGGTGCTTCACCACCACCCAGAAGAGCCCCATGGGGATGTAGAAATTAGACCCAAACATCTCTAAGGATTATTCCCAGCTGGGATTTTAGAATTTCAGGCGATGGCCAGGCACAATGGCTCATATCTGTAATCCCAGCACTTTGGGAGGCTGAGGCAAGCGGATCACCTGAGGTCATGAGTTTGAGATCAGCCTGGCCAACCAGGCAAAACCCCGTCTCTACTAAAAATACAAAAATTAGCTGGGCATGGTGGTGCACACTTGTAATCTCAGCTACTCAGGAGGCTGAGGCAGGGGAGTCGCTTGCACCCGGGAGTTGGAGGTTGCAGTGAACTGAGATAGTACAACTCCATTCTAGCCAGGGTGACAAGAGTAAAACTCCATCTAAAAAAAAAAACAAAACAAAACTGTAGACTTAAGATCTGTGTATTTTGGCTGGGCGCGGTGGCTCACATCTGTAATCCCAACACTTTGGTTTGGGAGGCCAAGGTGGGCCAATCACGAAGTAAGGAGTTCGAGACCAGCCTGGCCATAATGGTGAAATCCTGTCTCTACTGAAAATATAAAATTGGCTGGGCATGGTAGTGCATGCCTGTAGTCCCAGCTGCTCGGGAGGTTGAGGCAGGAGAATTAGTTGAACTTGGGAGGCTACAGTGAGCTGAGATTGCGCCACTGCACTCCAGCCTGGCAATAGAACAAGTCTCTATCTCAAAAAAAAAAAAAAAATCTACGTATTTTATGATATGTACATTCAATAAAGAAAACAAACTTATAGAATGCAGCTAAGACAACACTTAGAGGGAAATATATAGCCTTAAGGGCATATATTAGAAAAGAGAAATATTCAAAATAGATAAATCAAGCATAAAACTTTTAAAAAGACCAGCAGAATAAGTTTGAAGAAAGTAGAAAGAAGAAAACAATAAAAGAGGAGTAATAATAGGACAGAAAACAAACAGGAGAAAAGGTCAATAAAATCAAAAGTTTAACATCATGGCTCAGGCCTGTAATCTAAGCACTTGGGAAGCTGAGGTGGGCAAATCACTTGAGGTCAGGAGTTTGAGACCAGCCTGGGCAACACGGCGAAACCCTGTCTCTACAAAAAATACAAAAATTAGCTGGGTTTGCTGGTGACATGTGCCAGTAGACTCAGCTACTCAGGAGGCTGAGGTAGGAGGAGATCACCTGAGCCCGGGAGGTCAAGGGCCAGGTGTGGTGGCTCAGGCCTGTAATCCCAGAATTTTGGGAAGCTGAGGCAGGTGAATCACTTGTCAGGAGTTTGAGATCAGCCTCAGCAACATGGCAAAACCCTGCCTCTACTAAAAATACAAAAATTACTCAGGCGTGGTGGTGCACCCCTCTAGTCCCAGCTACTTGGAGGCCAAAGCATGAGAATTGCTTAAACCTGGGCTGAGATGGTGCCACTGCACTCCAGCCTGGGTGATAGCATGAGATCCTGTCTCAAAAAAAAAAAAAAAAAAAAATTAATGTAGGCCAAGTGCAGTGGCTCACTCCTGTAATCTCAGAACTTTGGGAGGGCAAGAGTTTGACAAGCCTGGGCAACATGGTGAGACTCCATTTCTTTCTTTTTGTTTTTTGAGACGAAGTTTTGCTTTTGTTGCCCAGGCTGGAGTACAATGGCACTATCTAGGCTAACTGCAATGTCCACCTCCCAGATTCAAGAGATTCTCCTGCCTCAGCCTCCCAAGTAGCTGGGATTACAGGTGCCCGCCACCACAACCAGTGAATTTTTCGTATTTTTAGTAGAGACGGGATTTCACCATGTTGGCCAGGTTAGTCGAACTCCTGACCTCAGGTGATCCACTCACCTTAGCCCCCACAAAGTGCTGGGATTACAGGCATGAGCCATTGCACCTAGCCTGAGATTCCATTTATACAAAAAAAATATATTTTTAATTACCAGGTTGTGGAGGTGTGTGCATGTGGTCCTGGCTACTTGGGGAGGCTGAGGGAGTAGGATTCCTTGAGCACCAGAGCTTGAGGCCACAGTGAGCCATGAGTGCACCATGGCACTCCAGTCTGAGTGCAGACCAAGACCCTGTCTTAAAATAATAATAATAAAGTCGTTTATAACACTCATAGATGAAAAATGAAAACTCATATTATCTCATCTCAATAGATGTAGAAAAAGCATGTAATAAGATTTAACATTAAAGTAGATTTAGAAGTTTAAAAAACAAAAAAATTTTTTTTCTCATTCTGTTGCCTGGGCTGGAGTACAGTGGTGTGATCTTGGCTCACTGCAACCTCTGCCTCCCAGGTTCAAGCAATTCTCCTGCCTCAGCCTCCAGATTAGCTAGGACTACAGGCGCATGCCACCACACCTGGCTAATTTTGTACTTTTAGTAGAGATGGGTTTTCACCATGTTGGCCAGGTTGGTCTTGAACTCCTGACCTCAGGTGATCCGCCCACCTCGACCTCCCAAAGTGTTGGGATTACAGGCATAAGCCATTGTGCCCTGCCAAAAAAAAATATATATATATATTTAACAACATGCCAGGTGCGGTGGCTCACGCCTGTAATCCTAGCACTTTGGGAGGCTGAGGTGGGTGGATCACCTGAGGTCAGGAGTTCAAGACCAGCCTGGCCATCATGGTGAAACCCCATCTTATTTAAAAAAAAAAAAAATTGGCCTTCCATGGACACCATGAACCACACTGTCCAAACCTTCTTCACTCCCGTCAGCACCCACCGTCCCCCGAACTATGAGATGCTGAAGGCGGAACATGAAGTGGATGTGCTAGGGGTACCCCACAACCCTGCACCCCCGACATCCACCATGATCCACATCCGAAGCAAGACCTCTGTGCCCAACCACGTCGTCTGGTCCCTGTTCAACACCCTCTTCATGAACTCCTGCTGCTTGGGCTTCATAGCGTTCACCTACTCCGTGAAGTCTAGGGACAGGAAGATGGTTGGCAACCTGACCGGGGCCCAGGCCTACGCCTCCACCGCCAAGTGCCTGAACATCTGGGCCCTGATTTCGGGTGTCATCATGACCATTCTGCTGATCATCATCCCAATACTGATTCTGCAAGCCTATCAGTAGATCCAGAGGAATCATCCTAGCCAAGGGCTCTGCCCGTGACCTGTCTCCCATGTACTCCAGCTACCATTCCTCGCCCTGCCCCCAGCCGAGTTCTGTATCAGCCTTTTACCCTCACACACTTTTCTACAGTCGTGTTCAATAAAGTGCATGTGTTCCTGGTTAAAAAAAAAAAATCTAGAAATAAAGGAAACTTCCTTTAACTATTAAAGAGCATCTACCCTAAACCTATAGCATTCATTATGAATGGGAAGCCATTAGAAGCATTTCCTTTAAGTTCAGGGATAAGTCAAGGCTGCCTGCTGTCCCTGCTTCTAGCTGACATTAAATTGGAGGCTCTAGCAAAACACAAAACAAAGGAAAATAAATGAAAGGTATAGAATTGAAAAAAAAACCAACTTCATTATTAATAGATGATATGATTACACAGACTCTCTTGAAGTCCACAAATTATTAAAATGAATGAGGCAAATGATAAAATGAACACAATTCATCTAACAATGAGATTTGTTACAGGGATGGCCCAAAAAAGGGAACACAGGACACTCCTATGTAAATGGTGACATATTTCTCCAGTTTCAGGATAAGTATATTCCAGGTTTAGTTTTATTATACTACTTCATCACATACATACACACATGTATATATACACATACATATATTCATACATATGCACTTATATTATTTTGTCTGTGTATGTTTCATACATCGATTTAAAAATTTGAAATAACAGTTGGGCGCGGTGGCTCACACCTATAATCCCAGCACGTTGGGAGGTCGAGGTAGGCGGGTCACGAGGTCAGGAGATCAAGACCATCTGGTCAACATGGTGAAACCCCGTCTCTACTAAAACACAAAAAATTAGCCGGGCATGGTGGTGGGTGCCTGTAGTCCCAGCTACTTGGGAGGGTGAGGCAGGGGAATCACTTGCACCCAGGTGATGGAGGTTACAGTGAGCTGAGATACTGCCATTGCACTCCAGCCTGGGTGACAGAGCAAAACTCCATCTCAAAAAAAAAAAAAAAAAATTGAAACAACATATGTTTTTACTTTCTATATTGTACACTTATTGGTTGTTTTCTTCTTTTTACAACAAAAATGTAAAAATGTCTTTGTTTTTAAAAATGATTAAAGAAAGAAAAAGGACAAAAGGAAATGAAGGGAGGCTGGAATTTCACCAAGAGCTTGATAGATGGGCGGGTGGATGGCCGTGAGGCTGGCTAGGAAGGCCAAGTCTAATTGAAGTCAGGACAAGGGCTTAGTCAAGGACTGAGCAGAGGCTGGTAGAACTGGAGAGAAGTCTGATAGCACTGACCTTTAAAAGGGCAGTTTTTAAAGACTGGTAGGAGGCGGAGCCCAAATGCAGGGGGTTAAATGGTGAATGAATAAATAGCAAAAAATTGGAAACCACCCAAGGGCCTAACAATCAGGGCCTGGCTAAGCAACCATAGTACCATTCATAGAAGAAATGATGCTGTGTCCATACATAGGCAGGCTTATAAAATTAGGTGACGTAAAAAATTTCAGGACACAAAATAGCATTTGTGCAGATTACAATTATGAAAGGACACGCATGTGCTGCGAGAGCCAGAAAGGGCTGGACAGGATCGAGAGCTGCTCGCGGATGCTGTTTTAAAGTCTATGGGATTTTCTTTCTTTTTTGGAAGGCCGGCGATCCACAAACAAAAACACATAATGTTGCTTTAAAATAAAGAGTGGCTGTGGAAGAAATGGAGACAGCAGGTGAAGGCCACTGGGTGAAGAAACCTGACGGTGACAGGAAGAAATGAGCCGGCAGAGCAGCTGGCGGGGTGTGAAGGCTGGGGACAGCAGCTGGTTGGCCAGCCTGGGGCTGGGGGGAAGTGGAGAGAGACAGAGAGGAGGCTGTTCTGTTTCCTTTATTGTCTATATCTCTACCTTATTTTTAAAATTTAAAACATAGTAGTACCTCTTGGCTAGGCACGGTGACTCACACCTGTAATCCCAGCATTTTGGGAGGTCAAGGCGGGTGCACCACTTGAGGTCAGGAGTTTGAGATCAGCCAATATGGTGAAACCCCATCTCTACAAAAATTAGCTGAGTGTGGTGGTGGGTGCCTGTAAACACAGCTACTCAGGTGGTAAGAGGTAAGAGATATCTGGACCCAAAAGATAACCAGAAAAGAATTTAAAAAAAAGGAAAAAAAAAGAGGTAAAAGATACATAAGAGGTAAGAGAATCACTTAAACCCAGGAGGTAGAGGTTGCAGTAAGCCGAGATCGTGCCACTGCCCTCCAGCCTGGGCAACAAGAGCAAAGCTCCATCTCAAAATAAATAAATAGTGCCTCTTGAGACAAATTCCATTTTTTTTTTTTTGAGATGGAGTTTCGCTCGTCACCCAGGCTGGAGTGCAATGGCACAATCTCGGCTCACCACAACCTCTGCCTCCTGGGTTCAGGCAATTCTCCTTCCTCAGCCTCCCGAGTAGCTGGGATTACAGGCCTGTGCCACCATGCCCAGCTAATTTTTGCATTTTTAGTAGAGACGAGGTTTCACCATGTTGACCAGGATGGACTTGATCTCTTGACCTCGTGATCCACCCGCCTCGGCCTCCCAAAGTGCTGGGATTACAGGCGTGAGCCACCACACCCGGCCTCTCGAGACAAATTCAAACAGTCCAGAGTGTGTATGTATAAAGTGACAGAACCCTCAGCCTCAGCCCCTACTCCCCACTGCCAACCGCTCAGTGTGCAGCATCCCAGAGCTGCATCATTTTCTTTTACCTGTAGTCCATTGGTTTTTTTTTGAGATGGGATCTTGCTCTGATGCTAGGTTGGAGTACAGTGGCACGATCTCGTCTCACTGCAACCTCCGCCTCCTGGGTTCAAGCGATTCTCCTGCCTCAGCCTCCGGAGTAGCTGGGACTACAGGCGCACATCACCACACCCTGCTAATTTTTTGTATTTTAGTAGAGACAGGGTTTCACCAGGTTGGCCAGGATGGTCTGGATCTCCTGACCTCATGATCCACCCAACTCGGCCTCCAAAGTGCTGGGATTACAGGCATGAGCCACTGCACTCAACCTGTTACAAAGTAATTAAAAAATTTTTTTTTTAGAGACGGGGTCTTGCTATGTTGCCCAGGCTGGAGTGCAGTGATTATTCACAGGCGCGATCCCACTACTGATCAGCACAGGAGTTTTCATCTGCTCCGTTTCCAACCTGGGCTGGTTCACCTGGTGGTCCCCTGCTCCCGGGAGGTCACCATATTGATGACGAACTTAGTGCGGATACCCGATTGCCCAGAACTGCTGGGCTCAAGCAGTCCTCCCACCTCAGCCTCCCAAGTAGCTGGGACTACAGACATGCGCCATTGCGCCCAGCAGTAGGCTGGTTTTTAATTACAAAGTAAGATGGGCTTGTTAAAGTATAAGATTAGAGAAAATAAACAGTGAAATAGTCTAGCCTACTGAAATCTCCCAATAGAGCTAACTGCTGTTGATTGTTCTGGAAAGGGTCTATGTGCATGTAAATACTTATGTATATACTCGTTCATGGTTTTATGGTTGGTTGTTTTTACAGAAGCAGGAACATTTCCTCCCCCCGCCGCTCTTGTTGCCCAGGCTGGAGTGTAATGGCCTGATCTCAGCACACCACAACCTCTACCTACCGGGTTCAAGTGATTTTCCTGGCTCAGTCTCTTGATAGCTGGAATTACAGGCACCTGCCACCACATCCAGCTAATTTTTTGTATTTTTTTTTAGTAGAGGCGGGGTTTCACTATATTGGTCAGGCTAGTCTGGAACTCTTGACCTCAGGCGATCCACCTGCCTCAGCCTCCCAAAGTGCTGGGATTACAGGCTTGAGCCACTGAGCTGGGCTAATTTTTTGTATTTTTTTAGTAGAGACGGGGGTTTCACTATGTTGGTCAGGCTAGTCTTGAACTTCTGACCTCAGGCAATCCACCTGCCTTGGCCTCCCAAAGTACTGGGATTTTCCTATTTCTAGTTGAGCAGTTTCTTATTACATCATGGTGGATCCCTCTCAAGTCACCACTGCCTATTCCACAGGATATAGTAGAAAGGTAAACTTCAGGGAACACAGGGGAATCTCTTTCCTTACAACGGGCAGGAAAGGAGCTATAGAAACAAAAGGTTCAAGATGGCAGGAGGTGTCGCTTGGAGGGGGGCTGCCCATGGGGATAGGGAACATGCAGACAGACAGGGTCTTCTTTCTGTCTTCTTCTCTTAAGCCAGAGTCCCATCCAAATGTAACTAAGCCATACAGAACTACAAGGGGGAAGGGCTGTGATTGGAGCCTGAGTGATAAGGGTCACTGCTGGAGGCTGAACTTCCTTGAGCAGACAGCTCTTCTCTCAGCTGTGCGTAGGCCAGGCCTACTTATCAGAAACCTTAAGGGGAGGTTGGGGGCGGTGACTCACGCCTGTAATATAACCTCAGCACTTTGGGAGCCCAAGGCGTCAGATTGTCTGAGCCCAGGAGTTCAAGACCAGCCTGGGCAACATGATGAAACCCCATTTTTACAAAAAATACAAAAATTGGGCTGGGTGCGGTGGCTCATGTCTGTAATTCCAGCACTTTGGGACGCTGAGGCTGATGGATCACCTGAGATCAGGAATTCAAGACAAGCCTGGCCAACGTGGTGAAACTCTGTCTCTACTGAAAATACAAAAATTAGCCAGGCATGGTGGTGGGTGCCTGTAATCCCCGCTACTCTGGAGGCTGAGGCAGGAGAATCCCTTGAAACTGGGAGGCGGAGGCTGCAGTGAGCCCAGATCTCACCATTGTTCTCCAGCTGGGCAATAAGAGTGATACCCCGTCTCAAAAAAATAAAATTAAATTAAAAAATTAGCCGGGCATGGTGGTGCACACCTGTAGTCCCAGCTACTCAGGAGCCTAAGGTGGGAAGATTGCTTGAACCCAGGAGGAGGTTTCAGTGAGCCAAGATTTCGCCACTGCACTCCAACCTGAGCGATAGAGCGATCCTGTCTCAAAACAAACAACAAACAAAAACAAGGGGCTTAAGGGGAGCCCTAGAAT